AAATCGGATACATTCAGCAGGATCACTGTAAGACCAGCGAGGCAGTAAGACGAATGATCCACGCACAGTTTCCACAAATTCATCTCACTGCTGAAGCAATAAAATGTGTTTGAAAGCTGAAAACGGTTTTAAATACGCAAGCACACCGAATGATAAAAAGTGCTCAATTTGTTGCTACGTTTAAAACTTAACAAGTCCTCCGAAAAGACCCTCCTCATGCTAACCTTAAAACCATTTACTTTAATATCACATTAAAATAAACAAACGGTTCAACTTTTAAATGGAGGCAAAACAGGACGAAATAGTTAAATTACATAATACACATAATTTACTATACACAAAGAAAGGCTCAAGTAAAACCATCAGCGACATTATTTTGAAGGAAGACTAAATATAACTCAAAATATTGCTGGTTGAACCACACAAACCCACGGTGAGAATAACTATCCCAGTTTAAGCTTTCGTTCTTGCCATTTTTATTGCATTTACTCCTGAAAACATCTGGGAATGTAGAGAATATAGTGTGCTTTATACTGCTCAGGACTATCAGTTTGATAGATATTCAACTATAACACCTGATTGACTAAATATGTAAATGTCTGTAGCTCATCTAGCTGGTTAGAAGTTGGGCTATGAGCTAAATGTTAAACGTTGCTAATGATAAAAAAAAAGCAGGTACCGTATATATTTTCTGGATTCATCTCCTTGTACAGCTTAATCAAACAGTAAGGTCTTTAATCAGCTATAAATTAATTTAAGGCAGGGGTGTCCAAACAGTTTCATAGGTGGACCAGAACTGTCTAGATGAAAGGTCTCACGGGCCAGAAAAATCTGAATTTAAGGAAAAAAAAAAATTAAGCTTGATTTTTTTTCCCCCTAATTCTTTAACAACTTGAAAAATATTTTGGAGAAAGGTTAAAAGTTTAGTTTCATTTTATTAATTTTTTTTGTAGATCCAGAGCATTATGAGCCTCATAAACATTAACCTAGTTTTTTTTATTTTTAAGAATTTAATTTCTTAGATTTTTTGGAGGGGTACTATTATTTGTAGGGATGCACAATATTATCGTCATGGTATCGGCCGATATTAGCATTAAAGTTAAATATCGGACATTCCATCAAAATAACTCACTGATATAAAAGGCTTCCGTTTTAAGTTATTTTTTTATTTAAGAAACTGTCAAGTATATCTATTAATGCACTACTACTTATGTGCGCGCATAAGCAACGCAGCTGCATTGTTGCTTGTGAACAAGTTAAGTTTAGATTTGTGAAAATTTACAAATTTGCACTGTTCCAGTGTTGTCATTGTGTTAGAGAGTAAATGTCATGAATAAATTTGACATTAAACATAATCCAAGTTGAAGTGTTGCATCATTTTCAGTCCCCTTTTTGGCATCTGAATTTGGTAGCAAGTCAAAGTAGGTCTCTGTAAGCAGGCGTAGGGGGATAAATATCGATATCGGTTAGTGACCAAATAAGTTTTAACATATTAGCATATTGGATATCTGCCAAAAATCCAATATCGTGCATCCCTAATTATTTGTTTTCTTGTGCTTTGAAAGTTCATTTTCATTTATTTTCATAGGCAAAAGCCTAATGGACCATGGATGGCCCAAGTGGGTTATCAAAGTTCTGCAAAACAGCTGGCAGTCACTAAAACAGATTCAAAGAATGTTTGAAAGGACACTGATAAAGTTGATCAACTTGTATGTCGATGATACCACTTTATATATTTTTTTAAATGTCCAATTTCTCCCCATCGATTATTAACTTAACTGAAATTGTTTTCTTGGAAAACACTTATATTTAGACAAGTTTTATGATTTATCAGACAAAATTATACTTTTTGGTAGGTCAGTGAAGGTTTGTTGTAGGATAAAGGGATTAATTATAGCTTAATTTCTGTATTGTACTTAAATTTGCTAATTTTGAGAAGATTATTTTTATCTTTTTTGCGGTTAAACCTACAAATTTAATTTAAAACGTATCACCATTAAATGTAAAGAAGGTCTACATCTGCATCAACCTCTTAAGCCTGTGGGTCAAAATTATACCATTCTTTAATTGCAGTCAAGGGCCACACAAAATCACTCCAAGGGCCACAAATGGACCTCGGGCCGCACTTTGGACCCCTCTAATTTTAGGTAAAGTTTTAAGGTATTTTTTGATTTAACAATGGAGCTGGAGAGAATAAAACAGATCAACGCATCCTTTGTGAATCACCATTTTATCATGGTGGAGGAGTTTATGTGCCTGAATGATAGGAGCTATGATGCCGGGGGCAATTACCCCAGGTAGGGTTTACAAGGCAGACTGGTCTAGGAGACAGGCCGGACAATCAGTGATTCTGAATACTCAAATGGACAGAAGACAACGAGGAACTCAATGTCCCTCACCCCTACATAGATTGCCAAGGCACCACCTTAAAGCCAGGACTAGGGGAAGATACTTGACTAAGCTAGTTCCCTGCTGTGCTTGACATTTTTCAGGGAGTTTTTCCCAGAATAAACTACCCATTTTAGGACGTTTATTTCAGCCGTACAGTCCACAGAATTACCATTTTTGGAATCCAGTAGTGGGAAGGTAAGCATATTCCTACTTGTGCAATTTGAAATGTGTACATTTGAAAAACCGTGTATGCATTTGCGAATCAAACAACAGGTAAGATATTAATAGTTCACTACCTTTCACGTAAACCCACTTCAGAAGGTCTGAATTATCCCTTTAAAAGAGGAGTCTTAAAGAGACACAGATTAAAACAAAGAATGTGATGACAGTGGCTGCATCCATGTACAATTTAGGATAAACGCGTATTTTTCCCTCCATTAAAGCATATAAAGCTAATAAAGCTGATCAGGTGAAAGTAGACCCAGAGTTGGACAAGTTACAGATGGCAGCACAACACTGAGCCTCCTCTTTAAGACAAGACCGTAAAATAAAACATTCAGATACTAAATAATCTCAAAACTATGACGACTCCTTGTACACTCAAAACATTCATTTTCATGCATGAAAAAACAACTAGAGGCTAAAAACCTCAAACATCAGGTGTGAAAATGGCAGCTTTGTACATCGTTCATTTTAAAATCCCTCCGGTGCAGAGTCGGAGTCAGTCGCACGAAAAGCTCAAAAAGATTTGAGGCAGTATGGTATCCAAACAGGGCGTGAGTACGAGAGTTAGGAACGCTTCTCGGTTAAATTACAGCAGGCATTCATGGTGAGGATAGGTGCACTAATGTCCATCCTGCAGCTTTTCCACTAATACAAACACACAAGTAGTGTTTTGTGATCACAGGCAGTAAGAAGGCACCTTCTTTACTGCCAGCAGGGAGCAGTGTGGTGTTGTGTTCACGTGGACATTTGCTGTGAAGAATCCCGCTGGTAATCTTCAGATTTGGGTGAACGAGAGAACAAGGTGCACAAATTTGTGTAACAGCAGCTACATTAAGGTGGTGTCTCACTGGACTGTGACTGGTGGAGACTGGTCAGCCCAGATTGTCCAGGTCTAAAAACCACGCTGATGATAATTGTTGGTAAGAGCCGCGCATCTTCATTTCAAATGTGGACTTCATTTGGTTAAATCAAACGTGGAATTGGCTGCCAAGGTAGAAACAAAGCAGGCTTAAGGGAGTATGATGTGGACAAAGAAGTAACGGTCCTCGCTTAAAATACTGTTTTGTAAGACTTTCAACAAATGACTGCCCAAACCAGTCACAAGACTGACTGGTCACAACTGTTTAACTGGAACAAAACATGTGGCTATACTGTATCTTTTGCAATTTTGAGTCACCATCTAGTATCCTGATTCTAACACGCAAAACTGTGAGAAAATCTGTCACGCAGATTTGTAGTTGTGATCAAAGGATGAGTGAGTTATCAGAATTAAGGAAAATTGCTGTGGATACAGCTTTCTAAACTGTTCTAAGCTGTGCACATTATCTTGACGCCCAGTGTTTTTGATTTGTACCAACCTTAAGACAGCCCCCATGTTTATGATTTAATCTACTATTATGCTAGTAGTACAATGCTACTAAATTTAGGAAAACCAACTAATAAAATAATACAAACAGATTTAAAAAATACAGTAGTCCCTCGCTACTTCGCAATTCGACTTTCGCGGAATACCTCTTTCGAAGCTTTTCAACATAAGAATGTACATGAAACACGATTGTCAACTTTAATATTGCTCACGTAATTGGGATGGTACAAGATAAAAAGTTAACAAAAAAAATACTTCGGACAGGCACCGCCATTTTGTAATTTTCTTTCAATAAGCTTATATTGTAACGCAAGTCAAAAAAACTACACTACCCAGAAGCCAACAGTGCTTCCGGCCGCTGCTTTCTGCAGGAATGGAGGGAACGTTTTGTAATATAAAGTCAGAAGTCACGATCTTTCTGTTAAGCTCACAGAACTGGCAGGAAAGTCGCAAATAATCCCGAAGCTTCCTGAAGCTCAATTATCCATGTGCACATCAACCTGGACGGGGCAGTGGGCTTCGTCTGCCGAACCGGAACAGAGCCTGACCAGAACCGAGCTGCTGGTCTGCAGAGCTGGTGAGTACCCATATAAAATTTTGCAGTACGTATGCTGTTAAAATTATGTAGGTTTAAGAGTTTAGAACAGGGCTATTCAACTAAATTGCTCCGGGGGCCAGTTACTGAAAGCCAAGAGCTCAGGGGCCGGACATCCAGCATTTACTATCATTAAGTAAGTTTGTTTTATGCTTTAAAATATAGCTTTATGTAAAAATTAACGCATTGGTGGGCTGAACTGAGCTCATCTGTGGGCCTGATTTGGCCCCTGGGCCGACAGCTGAATGGTTTAGAACATGGTTAAGAACATTGCAAGAGTTCGCAAACGACTTCCCGACGGGTGCAGCCTAGTGAGATACCACCTTTACGCTACTTTACAACACACAGATGATGCTGTGCAGTGGTTCCCAAACCTGGTCCTTGAGGAACACCACCCCTGTATGTTTTAGTTGTTTCCCTGCTTTGACACACCTGATTTGAATGACTGAGTGCTTAACAGGCTTTGGCAGAACTTGAGAGAGTAATAAAATCACTGAATCAGGTGTGCTGGAGCAGGGAAACAACTAAAACATGCAGGATGGCGTTCCTCAAGGACCATGGTTGGGAACCACTGTTTTCTAGGGTTAGCTTATGGTTTCTTTGGCAGAGTTGTACAATCAGAGAACAACAACAATGCCTTTGTGAACACAAACAAATTGATCTAGTTTCTAACTTCTCTTCGTCAGAGGTCTGCTCTCCCGAACATGCTTCCTCTTTTCTGCCTTCCCTTTCTCCCTCACCTTCCTAAGTCGCCGAGGAGGTGGCGTTCCTCTTGACTCACTATCCTCCTGAGCGCTGGATGTATCCATCCCATCCTGCTCTTCAGGAATATTGGGAATAGCCCCGCTGCTCCCGTCTAAAATGTTCCTGAGGGAAGGGTCCTCTGGCGTGCAAGTTGCAGTGGTACCACTCTCACTGCTGCTCAGGTCCTGCTCCTCACCGTACCTCCCCCCTCGGCCATGGTGTGGAAATGAGGAGACCCTAATCGAAGGCCTGTCACGCTCCGACTCACGGATGTTGTGCTGGGGCTCGTTCATGTCTACGCCAGAGTCCAGGCTGGTGTCATTGCTGCTCGGTGGGCGGTGCCGGCTCTGCAGCTCAATGATGGAGTGGCGGACTTGAGCAGCTGGCTTCCCATCCAGAGAGACAAACCAGGCTCTGGGGTGAGAGGAGGAGGACTTGCCTCGGGTCAGCTCCAGTAAAGTACGCTCAGAAATCCCCTGTAGCTCACTGGTGTGCCCACTGCCGAAGGCCCCCATACCAGCTGCCTCGTTGAGAGTCCCAGGTACAGAGACGGAAGATTCAAGGAGGTTACTGTAGCGTCCCCACACACCAGAGTTTGGACCTGGTCCTGGTGGTGGAGTCTCCAGAGGCTGAGGGTCATCTTGATTGCTCTGCTGGGGGCTGTTTCCACCCTGGGAGTGGTGGTGAGGAACTTTGGGTAGCGTCTGGGTGTAGTTGTCCTTACTGGCAGGTTCTGAATGGCCGTCATACTCCACCCCTTTTCTGGGGAAAGTGTTGGACTTGCATCCCGGTAGCTGCGGTTCCTGAGCACCGAACAGCTCCGGAGCTTGAATAATCGCCACTGGCTGGTTGTAGATATGCACTAGCTTATCCTGAAAGAAGTTCTCAGAGTTCATATTGGCTCGATTCTGCTCTGTTTTCTCCCGTATCCAAGCCACCTCCTCACTGTTGATGTAGTGAGGCTGTGGTCCCTTCATCCGATCTGCAGCGATGTTGTCATAAGGAGGAGCTGCAGTAAGACTCCCAGGATCCTCCACATAGATGTTGTAGTTGGCTTTGTGTCTCGGTGTGGACAGCTCACAGGTGACGCTGCAGGAGGCGAGGTCGTCCCCTGATCGGAACAGCAAACCCTCCTCCATGTGGGTGGAGGTGGTTTGGTCTTTTTTCACCACCGTGAGCTTGGAGAAGCGTGCACGCCTCCTCGTGGGCTCTCGAGAGGAACCTCTAGATGTGAAAACAACAAAACCTGATCAACACAGTTAAGTTATATAATGTACTGTATATAATGCTGAGTCAGCATTTCCTGCATTTAATTTTTTTGTACAATTTTTAATACCTTTTTACACGTTGTGTTATAGCCATTCATATATCGAAACGTTCATCTCATTCAGGAGATGGGTGCTACGACTTTTGGTTCTAGCAACTTTTACACTTTTCAAAATATTTTAACTTTATGTGCAAACATTTTTCCATTGGGATCTCTTCACTTCCTTGAAAACATCCATCCATCCATTATCTTTACCCGTTTATTCCATTTTGGGTCACGGGGGTCACTGGTGCTCATGTCCAGCAATCACTGTGCGAGGGGCAGGGTACACCCTGGACGGGTCGCAAGTCCATCACAGGGCCACATAGAGACAAATGAGACAAACAACCATTCACTCTCTCACTCACACCTAGGGACAATTTAGAGTTACCAATCAGCCTAACATGCATGTTTTTGGTCTGTGGGAGGAAACCGGAGTACCCGGAGAAAACCCACGCATGCACGGAGAGAACATGCAAACTCCACCCAGAAGGCCCCTGGACCGGGGTTTGAACCAGGGACCTGTTTGCTGAGAGGCAGCAGCTCTACCAGTTGCGCCACCGTGCTGCCCTCCTTGAAAACATGATTCGTTTAATTATGTCTTCTTTTGCTTTAGTTTTTTATCTCTGTTTTTGCTTCTTTTAGTTAACATTTAAATTTTTTCGTTCTTAGCTAGCTTTTTGTGACATATAGCTTTTAGCTAGCATTTTGCATCTTTTAGCCTTTACAACTAAGACAGTCAGCATTTTCTACTCGATTATAATGAGTCGTTTTCTTACCCGCAGTGACACAAAAGCAACGACAGGAGTCCAATCACCACAACAAGAGTTCCGCCTAGTATTCCCATCAGACTGTAGGAGTGGTACGAGATGAAATCCATTGAGCTGCCATATCCAGGGTAATCTAAAAGGTAAAATGTTTGCAGGATGTCTCAGCCATGTACAAACAGCACTGAATTGCTACTGAGGGTAGATGAGGTACCTTTGGAAAAAGGATGTGGAGCAGCAATCCAGTATCCCAGATGGGAGGCAGTGTAAGTCCAAATCAGCTCATCACCAAGTGTTTTAACTATTCCCAGTCCATGGTTCTCCCAGGCACCTTCAGAGAACATTGGTTCATGTATTTAATGTACAGTGCCTTGCGAAAGTATTCGGCCCCCTTGAACTTTTCAACCTTTTGCCACATTTCAGGCTTCAAACATAAAGATATAAAATTGTAATTTTTTGTGAAGAATCAACAACAAGTGGGACACAATCATGAAGTGGAATGAAATTTATTGGATGTGTCAAACTTTTTTAACAAATAAACTGAAAAGTGGGGCGTGCAATATTATTCGGCCCCCTTGCGTTAATACTTTGTAGCGCCGCCTTTTGCTGCAGTTCCAGCTTCAAGTCTCTTGGGGTATGTCTCTATCAGTTTTGCACATGGAGACACTGAAATTCTTGCCCATTCTTCCTGCAAAACAGCTCGAGCTCAGTGAGGTTGGATGGAGAGCGTTTGTGAACAGCAGTCTTCAGCTCTTTCCACAGATTCTCGATTGGATTCAGGTCTGGACTTTGACTTGGCCATTCCAACACCTGGATACGTTTATTTGTGAACCATTCCATTGTAGATTTGGCTTTATGTTTTGGATCATTGTCTTGTTGGAAGATAAATCTCCGTCCCAGTCTCAGGTCTCTTGCAGAATCAAACAGGTTTTCTTCCAGAATGGTCCTGTATTTAGCCCCGTCCATCTTCCCATAAATTCTGACCATCTTCCCTGTCCCTGCTGACAAAAAGCAGGCCCAAACCATGATGCTGCCACCATCATGTTTGACAGTGGGGATGGTGTGTTCAGGGTGATGAGCTGTGTTGCTTTTACACCAAACATATCGTTTTGCATTGTGGCCAAACAGTTGGATTTTGGTTTCATGTGACCAGAGCACCTTCTTCCACATGTTTGCTGTGTCTCCCAGGTGCTTGTGGGAAACTTTAAACAACACTTTTTATGGATATCTTTGAGAAATGTCTTTCTTCTTGCCACTCTTCCATAAAGGCCAGATTTGTGCAGTGTACGACTGATTGTTGTCCTATGGACAGACTCTCCCACCTCAGCTGTAGATCTCTGCAGTTCATCCAGAGTGATCATGGGCCTCTTGGCTGCATCTCTGATCAGTCTTCTCCTTGTTCCAGATGAAAGTTTAGAGGGACGGCGGGTCTTGGTAGATCTGCAGTGGTCTGATACTCCTTCCATTTCAATATGAGTGCTTGCACAGTGCTCCTTGGGATGTTTAAAGCTTGGGAAATCTTTTTGTATCCAAATCCATCTTTAAACTTCTCCACAACAGTATCTCGGACCTGCCTGGTGTGTTCCTTGGTCTTCATGATGCTCTCTGCGCTTTGAACAGAACACTGAGACTATCACAGAGCAGGTGCATTTATACGGAGACTTGATTACACACAGGTGGATTTTATTGATCATCATCAGTCATTTGGGACAACACTGGATCATTCATAGATCCTCACTGAACTTCTGGAGTGAGTTTGCTGCACTGAAAGTAAAGGGGCCCAATAATATTGCACGCCCCACTTTTCAATTTTTTATTTGTTAAAAAAGTTTGACACATCCAATAAGTTTCATTCCACTTCACGATTGTGTCCCACTTGTTGTTGATTCTTCACAAAAAAGTAAAATTTTATATCTTTATGTTTGAAGCCTGAAATGTGGCAAAAGTTTGAAAAGTTCAAGGGGGCCGAATACTTTCACAAGGCACTGTAAGTGTATGACCATCTTTGATTCCAAGACCTGTGAGTTTTATTCCCACCTGTTTTCAGATTGAAGGCCCAGGCTGGTACCGTATCGGAGACCCTCAGGTGTGTGTTATGTCCCAACGGGAGGCTGATCTGGATCGGCCCTCGGACCTGGAGCTCCTCACCACCAGAGTACAGCAGGACGCTGACGGCTGCCACCGCCCTCAGTTCGATGCTCCTGAGCACTGCAAAGGAATCAAGAATATTAACAGTAAATCATAAACGCTAGCTTTCAGCTTATTCTTCTCTGTTTCTTTTGATGTTAGCTATTTTTTTATCCAGTCAGACTTATCATATTTCAAGTTCATCATTTAGAAAAACCTGAGAAACATAAACTGTATCCCTAAAGTCTTTTTGCAAAAAAACTTTTGGCCAGAATAGAAGCTTCTAAACATTTATTGTAGCTAAAAGAAGCTTCTGTTAAGGTTCAGACAGTAAGACACATCTGAAGAAGTTGCGAAGATCTTAATCGTTAAGTAAAAAAATAACAAGCCTCATTTAATGCATTAAAATCATTTGTTGCTGGTTAAGTTTCTAATTTCTGTACATGCAATAACAAGTCTTGGAAAATCAGATCAAAACTACAATAAACAGAAACTAGAAAGTTCCTGGAGAAACTTTGACGGGGACTGCCAGTTTAAAAATGTGATTTGACAGTACTATGTGTTTGGGTTCGCTCTCAGCTACCACTACCTATACCATATTTCAGTTGAATAGCTCTAAAAAGGGCTGAGTTATCATAATTTTTGCTTTTTAACTAAGGCGGACATCTTGGATTTTTGATTTGGATTTAGTATGCGATAGGAAACATTCTCAGCTATAACCTCACCAAAGTTCAGCTCTATATGTTTAAAAACTTTGGGTTAAAGCCATTTAAAAGTAGCGTTGTTGGCCATCTTGGATTTTTGATTTTGATTCAGCATTTGATAGTAAATATTCTCAGCTATCATCAAACCAAATTCCAACTCAATATGACTAAAACTGGCTGATTTATAGTATTTTTCCTTTATTACTTAGGTGGCCATCTTGGATTTTTGATTTTCAGTCAGTCTATTAAGGATCGTTCTCTGCTACCAATACGCCAAATTTCAGCTGAATAGCTCTAAAAATGGCCGAGTTATCGTATTTTTTCTATTTTAGCTAAGGTGGCCATCTTGGATATTTGATTTGTGTATTACAACTCACTCTCAGCTACAACCATACTAAATTTCAGCTCAATATCTCAAAGAATTACAGAGTTACAGTCAATTTTGTGTTTGCTGAGGTAGCTGCGGCAGCCATCTTGAATCAAAATGGCTCCATACGTTAATCATTTCTAGACATTTATCTGATGATTACTTTCTGTGAGTTTCAAACAAATCCAACGGGTGACCTTCTCTTTTCTTTAGGGGCCTCTAGACTCTGTCGTGACCTCACAGCAGCAGCTAGTTTTATATAGGGAAATATGGCATCTTTGTTAGCGAAATGCATCGCCATGGTAACTCAAAACACCAATAAAAGTAATAGCACACATCACGGTGCCGAGCCGGTGGTTTTGATATTACATTTGTGTGGGTACATGTTGCGGTTTGGGCCACACAAAAGTTGACGGCAGAGTTAAAATATAAAGTTAAGAAACCAGTTTTCCGAGGTGAATAATAATAAGTGTCTGCCTTTTAAAAGGCAGTCCCTAAGCCTGTCATGATAAACAATAAATTAATTAATTAATCGCACGATAAATGAAAATTATCGACCACATTTTCATTTATCAGCTTCATATCTCTTTCTAGTGGACACTGGATGACAAAAAGCTCAACTCCAGTGTTCTTCACTGACCCTTTCTCTTTAAAATCCGTTTTAACCGTTAAAAGCAACTAAGCTGAGAAGCTAAGCTATGAGCTAAGCTAACAGGCCGACCTCTGTAATAAAACTCTGTCTTGTCAAAGCTCCAAAATTCACGGTTGAAACTCGTGCCTTCGTGTAAAAAGTTGTTTTTCTCTGCAAAAAGAAGCTGAGAACTTGTTTACTGATTATTTTTTTTAATTTAAAGCTTTGTGAGAAATGCTATGCTAACGAGCTCAAACCACACCGAGCGTCCGCCATTTTGAGAACTGAAAAAAAGGAAGGAGAGACAGCCCGTGTCACATCAAGAGGCCTCCCTCCCATTTTTCTTAAAGAGACTCGCTGCTTGCTCCCTCACTATCCATCCTTCGGTTCAAACAGTCTTATACTGCCACCCAGTGGTCAAAAAAAGGTACTACACTCAAAACAAATTAACCAACATTTCTTCTTAAATTTGATCTTTGTCAAATTTGTTAAATTTGACAATCTTTTAAACTTTCAATATTTGACAATAATTTAAAAATAATTAACTATTGTCAAATTTCAAACAATATTATCGTTTATCGCAATAATTTCTGAGACAATTAATCGCCCAGCAAAATATTTTATTGTGACAGGCCAAGCTGTCTGCCATTAAAATGGATTTAATGTCAGGGCCCAGGTGAGGTAAAGGTAAACTGAAGTTGATCCCTGATGAAACGCCCACCTGATTGGCTGCTGATGATGCCGGGGGTGCAGTTAGCGCAGTCCTTCGCCAGGTGGTGCTGTGGCACAGTCAGATACGCCATCAGCGATGACACGTTGCTTTTATCAGCGGTGGTCAGGAGGTTCTGGGGGAACTTGACCCTTGGTTGGGCGGAGCTGTCTGTGTAATGTCCAGACATGCACGTTAGTGTTCAAGCTTCAAACTGGGAGGAAATAAACGCAAAACCAGTTTTTAAACTGTAGTAAACTTACCGGGTAACTTCCCTGTGATGAGCACGGAGTCTTCAAAGAGCCAGATGTTGCCCTGACTGTGCGGAAGCAGCAGCATCGTCACAGCAGAGAAGACTGTGGGGCGATGAATGAAATGTTTCTGTGAAAACTGTATTTTTAGATTTGGCTGTAAGAAAAAGGAAAACCCTGCAAAGATCTGAACCAGGATCTGAGAGTTGAATCGGCTACTGTACTGTACTGCCAAAATCCCTGCTGCAGTGTGTGCAAACCTGGTGAAAAACTACAGGAAACCTTTGACCTCTGTAACTGCAAACAACGGCTACTGCACCAAATATTAACATTGATTTTCACAGGTGTTCAAATACGTATTTGCAGCAGTAACACACAAATAAATTATTTTAAAAATCATACATCGTGATTTCCGATTTATTTATTTTTTAGATTATGTCTCCCACAGTGCACATGCAGGATGACAATTTCAGACCCCTCCATGATTTCTAAGTGGGAGAACGTGCAAAGTCGCAGGGTGCTCAGATACTTCTTTTCCTCTCTGTACATATCACATGTGCCAACCCAAGATTATCAGTAGCCCCCATCTGGCCACACTTTTGTAAACTTCCTAGAAGCGCCCCTGATGTGAATCCGTTACCTCTCTTGTTTTTTTTGTTTTTTTTATAGATTTAACTAAACAAATCAAACTGAACGTTTGTAACACAGGTGGCAAAAAAATCCAACTCAACTCTAGTTGGACAACGTGCACGTCACTGACGTCACCAGCAGAGGGCGCCCTCACTGTCAAGGCTCAGCAGCACAAAAGGGAGGCGTCTCTGGAAATTAGGAGCAACAAAGCACCTCCATCCTCTGTGTTTACCAGCACCTCCCTGCTGTCATATCAGACCCACGAGCCCCCCCTTTGTCACAGCAACATAAAGACCCCCCCCCCCCGCCCCCCTTCCTTCTGAGCAGGACAAAGACGGTTTGGTTCCATCTTCTGCAGCAGGAAGCAGCAGTGTTCATGAATCTGCAACAATGAATAAATCAGCTGCTATAAATAAACTTTGAATTATCCTAGGCCCCGGGTCAGAACCACCCGATCATCACGTCCGGTTCTCCACTCACTCGGTCTCTTGGTGGTGCTCCAGGGCAGCGGGGTGGGCACGAAGCCTTCCTTATGGCCCAGCAGGGTCAAACTGAGGCCCGGACTGTAGCCGACCCAGAGCAGAACCTCGCCGCTCCGCCCAGCTCGGGACGAACCCCTCAAGGTGTGGTTGACGTAAACATCCACCGAGGCCCCGGCCAAGGGCTGCCGGGTCACCAGATCTCTCAGGAGCACCTTCAGGGCAAACTGGGGCTCTGAATGGGAAGAAGAAGGAGGAGGAGGATTATGTGCAACATCTGGGCAGCACATGTGTCTCAGCACGCAGCGGAGCTGGGTGACCTTTATGTGCTCATGAAAAAAAAAGTGATGAGGCGAGCACAGCTGGAGCAGCTGGGGAGGATGGAAAATTACATGAACGGCGCCCAGACTGACCAAGATGAGCTTGTTTTAACATCATTGGTTCAAAATCTCACAATGTAAACAGAGGATAAGTAACAACTTAACAGCCTAAAACATCACAGTTTTTACTCATTACGTATTAATATTTATGTTACATAAACAGGGCAGTCCTAACATAAACAGAAAACCTGCTCTGGTGCAGCTGCTTCCTTCCTTTGTGTTTGTTTACCTGCAGTCAGAGCCGAGGGCGTCAGGACCCTCTCCGGGCCGGACATCATGTGTCCCCCCGCGGCCGTGAGCCCATTGTCCCCGGCTGAGGAGGAGGCCAGGCCGCCGCCCTCCCCCGGCCCATCTAGGCCGGAGATCAGCAGCGACGAAGGCAGCGAGAGGAGCAGCAGCAGCGGCGGCAGGTAGCGAGCAGCGGCGGGCATGTCGGGAGGGGCGGCAGGCTCAAAGACATAACGAGGCGCGAGGAAGGAGCTCGAGGACACAGCTGTGTTTGTCCACGTCACGAGGGCCTCGTCCCGCTCGTAGGGGGGTGTTGTGGTCGTAGGAGCTAATGGAGGGAGGAAAAACCCCGAGAAAAGATGCTCTGGTACTGAAGCTGGGCGTGTGGCCAAAGATCGTTTCTTATGAAAAGATGCGCCACACCCTGATAAAACTCCCTACATAATCGGTAGTGATTTTTTTTTTATTGTTGTCAAAAATGAAACGGTCAATATCTGTTCTATTTTAGCATAAGTGAACAAATAAGTGTTTTGAAAAAAATGAACCCCTGCTCCCGTCACTTTTATGGTAAACAGAGTGAAACATCTTCGCACGATCTTTGATAAACTGGAAGAAGCTGTTACATCACTGATGTCTGATTCCCGGGTCCTCTCCACCGTTTATAAACTACTGGTTTAAGATGAGAAGAGATAAGATATAACTTTATTAATCCAGCAGGAAGTTGTTGATCAGCTTTTAAATGCATAAATTATATATTTATTTGAGCCTTTAACTGTTTAGCTTATAGCCCCTGAAACAACTGAGATTTGTGACCTCAACTAACTTAACGTGTTCAAACATAAATCTTTCTTCCAAAAAAGTTCAATCTGGTCCTCTGGACATTCAAAAAAAAAAAAA